GCGTTAAACAAGGAAGATTTACTTCTGCATGCACTGCAATCTGGCCAATAAATAATATGTGAACTTTTACTAAGCATTTTCACCTAAACGATATTTGGTTTTAGTTTATTTTCTACTTCGTTTTCTTTCATTTTCCCATTGCATTTTTTTTCAGATTAAAACTAATCCAGGTTACAGGCTTAACATGAAACAACGCTCCGTTAAGGTAAAAAAAAAAAAAAAAAAAAAAATCATACTTCAGCACTTATTCAACCATTTTACACAGATGTTTTCTTAGTGATCTATAATTTGAAGAACAAGAAGCAGCATCATTATCCTCACTTACTTTACTTTTACTTTTGTAAACTTTTCTAAAATAATGGATTTCTATTAGATTTTATAATTAATGAAAAAATATTTTTAAACTTTTTTTACTTCTCAACTCTGCCTCTCCTACGGTACAATATGTTATAAAATCTAATTATGCAAAATAACTTAATCTGGAAATCTGATGATGAATTATGAATATTTCATGATATATGGCAATGCTTCGATTCCAATACGCTTTTCGCGTAACATTTCTACCATCTCAGTAAAACAGAGAAATCGTAAAAAGCGCCATCTGATGATTAAAATCGTATAATTTATTATGTCCAGCAGTATACGATATATAAGAGATTTGTCGATCAATATCGATTTGCCTTTTGATAACTTAGAGATCCCGATAAAATGTACGTATTTCCACTTAGCGAGATCAGGCGAATTAACTTGACAACGTCCCGTCGTCAGTCTATGTAATCGAATTCATGATTTAATGGGTAAACACATTTTGGTTAGCAAGTTAGACTTTTTGGCCCAATCGGACAATTGTGCATTGACTTCTTAGATTACATGGTTAAAATGCCCGAAAAATATACTTGAAGTGAGTTCGTTTTCTTTATCACCTGCCATCAGTCAAGCTGAGCAAATTCTTGACCTGGCCCGCCACCTGACGCTCCCCGACTTATAAGTAAACAATAATATTTTTCATTACTTTTTATAACGACAGCGAAACATTTCTGTTTTGAATTTTTAGATCAAATTAACGAGCAGGGAGGAAATCTCGCCTCCACTACTTTATATTATGCCGAAAAATATGAATATAATAAGTAAGACAATTATAGTCGGTCTTCGCCGAATGCTGCATACCCATCAACGTGATCCTAAAGAGAAAACAAAAAAAATGATAAAATTTTCATACCCCATAAAATTGGGTGGGCACGGCTGATTTTCTCCTATTTTCAGAGCAAAAGTGAAAATTTATATGGTGTATGGTGTATTGTACTTTATGAGTGACAAGCAAACAAGACGGAAAGCAAATGTATTCACAATTTTTATTATATAAACGTGCGGGTGTGTCGTGGTCGTATTCTTTGGAAAGTTTGAGTTCTTTCCAAATTTTCTTGCAGGTTTGTAGGCGATATTTTCATTTTCCAGCGATTTCACTACACGGTTGTGCAGACAGAATGCAGACGGACAGATGAGATGTCGGACATGCTTATGTGCGTATTGATGCTTTGATGTTGATCAAGAGTATGTATACATATATATATATATATATATATAGTTTATGAGGTACCTGAAGTTTTCGTCTGGCCGTTGCAAACGTTTTGATAAAATGAATATACCCCTAATCCGTCAGTAATGGATATAAAAAATCGTTTCAAGTGCCATTGCTTAGCTCTACCCTTCTTCGACGCTAAACAATGTTCGCATTATTTCCCAATTGAATATTAAACGTATTTGTTAATAGACGCTGGAAAGCCGTATGGGAAATCTTTCCTTCACTTCCTTATAAGTTAATGGTAAGGATAAAAAAAAAAAATTCATTTTCAAAAATCAAAGTTCCTATCTCTTATATCTATTTGTCCATTGCTTGCTTTCTAAACTCAAATTCTAGAACTCTTTTCCGAGTAAGCTGAACCTAAGTATATTTTTATGTTTAAATTATTCGATGATTTAAGAGAGAATTGTTTGTTAGTCTTATTATATATCCGATAACTCTACGAATTTTATGCTTGCCTTGCGAACTTTCAAAGCGATCTTCAAAAAATATTTGATAAAATTCAAGTTATAGACAGACTTTAAGAAGCTTAACCCTTTGTACTCAAAGTTTTTTTTCATTCGTATTACAATCTTCGAGCCGCGACCGTCATTTGTCCCCAATAGCGAAACACACCCAAATACTAGTACCGCAAATATCTCCATAGCTGATCCCTCGAGTTTGATGATCAATTTTAAATGGCTCCGCTTCGGAGCCCTCGAGTTCAGAGTGCAAATATTTCCTTTTCCTACACTTTTCAATACAACAAAATGTATGTATGTATGTATGATAATTGCACTCTGATAACAATAGTTCAGGTTCATAAATTTAAGTTGAATCAAATTATAAAGTGATTCAGACTTTCTTGAAGCACACATGAAATCCATGTAATTGGGCAAATTTTTTTAGTCACCTTGTATAGAGGAAAATTTGGTCCATAGTAAGCGTGTTTAACTTCTCTTCAAATTAACGCAAGCAGTGACGGGCATCAATTAAGACATTCTACGCACTGTGACGAAGTTTTCATTTCAATATTGACTTACTATAGAACAACAAGACATTTCCAATCTACGTGATCTTTTGGCGGAAATAAATCATTTGTGGCAAATTTTCTCATATATTTTTATTTCTTCTTTTTAACCATAATTCTGGTAAAGATATTCGTTTTTTTTTTTTTTTTATTATTATTGTTATTGTTGTATTAAAACCTTTGGTAAGTGTATCAGCACGTTTAAGAATTCTATTATTAATTTCCGCCCCTTACCAATACAAGCAAATAGCATTTACAATGTCAAATAAGTCTTTCGGTTATATATGCTAAAAAAAAAAAAAAAAATTTACGTTTACTATACATATATGTATACATATATATATATATATATATATATATATATATCCTGACTTTACTTCTTTGAACTATTAAAAATAAATAAAAACATTATATTGGTGGGCCACAGTCCACCCGCATATAACGTATACCGTCTTACATTTAGTTATTCATATAACGACTTCTCAAAAATAGGACGTTATATGGGAAGCAATCGAAAAACATGTCCACGATCTGAATTATCTTCAATAGGGCGAAAATATATAAGTGTGCAATTTTCATCACAATATCTCAAGGATTACCGAACGCAAGGCAGCAAGTTAGACAGACGGACAAGGGAGCAGATCAAGTTAGATCAATTGACAAAGTGTTTCTGAATCGATCGATACAATAAAGGGTGGATTTATCTCTGTGCCTTCTCACCGTTACACATCCGCACAAATTTTGATATACCCTTGGTGTCACAAATGGTGTACGATATAACAATTGTTATACCCGTCACCGAAAGATGAGGGGAATATTAACATTTACAACCCAACAAAGTTTTTTATGCGCCTGATCAGCATCGAATTCTCAATCGATTTAAACATGTCCGTCTGTCCGTCTGTCTGTCTGTCTGTCTGTCTGTCTGTCGGCCTGGTTGTTGGAGTGTGGCCCGTTCGCAAAAATTAAGACATCGCCTACAAATTTGCAAAAGATTTTGGAAGTGACTTAAATTTTTCCAAACACACGCGTACAACGTTCACGCGTCTATACGACAAAAAAGTTTATTTTGAAAATACAAAATCCACTCCATAGTATAGAGCACAAAAATTGTGCTTCTTTTACTTTTTTTGTCTGTTTAGATTAACGATGAAGGGTATGAAGGACCGAATCTATTTTTCTTACCCTTTATAATTGTAATTAATTTCCCATTCGTGGAAGTTTCCAAAATTTCAAATTTATGAAAAGCTCGAATTCGTGCCATTATGTTGAGAGACAATATACTTCAACGTTTACTACCGATACATGATACCCATAATACATTTGCAATGTGAATGAAAAAAGCCTTAACAGTTGAAGAG